TATTCGTGGTTGAGTTCCTCATCAAAAGCATCCGAATCAGGTCCCTCTGCAGGGAGCAGCTCCACCCACGGGGGTTTTTCAAACTTGTCACACATAAAGAAGGCATTGTGCTCTGCTTGTACCCACTGTTCAATGTCACCCCAGTCCAGGGGGGGTGAATCGTTGCAGTTGCTCACACCCACAAAATGCACGGTTGCCTATATCCCTGAGCTCCGTCGGGATGACAACTTCTTGCAGTGCCACACAGTGGGCAAATGTGGAAGAGGGGAGGGCTGTGATCTCTGTGTCCATGAGGTTGACCTCCATAAGGCTTTTACAATTCTCACAGGCACGCGGCCCGATGTTGTGGAAGTCACTAGGCAGGCAGAGCTGTTCAATGCTTGCGCCGCAAAATGCCCCTTCAGGCAGTCCTCTAGGTTGGTTAGTATGATCCATGTCAAAGATGATGGTGGCAAGTGTGAGGCAACTCTCGAAGGCATATTTACCTAGTTGTGCCCCTGGTGCAAGGACGCTGCTGTCCTCTGTTCCATGACTGGCCCCAACTCGACTTAGGGAGCAGCACTCTGCAAACACCCTTGGACCGTATCGGATACACCCCGGGGCGGCTACTTCTCGCAGCGCATAGCACCCTTGGAAAGCCCCTTCCGCCAGACTTATGACCGAGGGTGGGAGCTTGACAATTTGTAGTTGCTGACACGTCTGCCAAGCCGCAACTCCTACATGGTGAATGCCAGTTGTCACTTCTACATGCCGGAGCGAAGGTGCAGCATAAAATGCTCTGTCGGCAATTGCCCTCCGCGGGTTGGGCGGGACACGAACAGCTTTGGGGTAGCTCTCCTTGCCGTCATCCTGGAACTGCCAGATGGAATGCCCATCTACCATGCAGGGACGAACTACAATTTGGAGCTGCGGTCGTTGTAGGAGCACAGTGCGGAATGCCTCTGGCAGGGGTTGCTGCGTTTGGAGGTTGAGCATCTTCAAGCTCTGCGACATCCTCATAGTGGGAGAGGTCTGTCTGCGTTGCATATACCGTACCTGCTATGGTAACCAACTCGAGGTTGATCTCATAACGGTCTTGGTGAGTCGGCATTGTCGCATAGGCGGTAGCTCGAGCGTGCTTGCTAAGTTTGCTTGAGCCAAATTACAGAGACACCGAAGATATAATCTTTGCGAACCCTATTATAACAATAAAGCTACCAGTAGGAGGGTGGCTAAGGCCACCCACCTCCTGGAGAGGATCAAGCAATTCGGAGACAGGTGCTGATCGGGATGATTCCTACTGGCAACTACCTTACTGCCACCAACCATAGGACCACCCATAGGGCGAGGGCGATGGGGAGGGCCTACTGTGCCAGGAAGACCCCGCTGCCGACAAGGAGCTTCCCGATCCTGGCGGGGGGACAGTTCGGCGAGCTTTATTGCTTGGGTCTGGGTCAGGGGCTTCTTGACTGTAGCCCATGTGGTCTCGAAGCGCCTGCTTGTGGTTCACGAGTTGAAGCCTAAAGTTGGGGTTCCCAGTGAGCCATGCACAGAGCTGATCCCATCGTTCTTTGGTATAGAGTTGTGTGCCGTATTGATTGTATGGGCGATCTGCCATTTTCGGAGTGAAGGGATATCCATTGTGGTAGAGGACGCTCCTAGGGACTTTGGTCAGCATCAGGCGGGGAGACAGCAGGTGCCATCCTGTGCGGGCCATGGCAACACGTAGCCCGGATGTCAGCCACTGAGCCACGACAGCACTTTCTGCTTCGATGCTCCCTTGCTCAAAATTGCCGAGCGCCGTTGCTAATCGGGTATAACCTATGCCAAAGATGAGCCTGATACCTGACTCAACGCTGACATGTCGCAGACGCGGAACACCTGCAAAAGCCCCTTCCGGGACGATTTCCTCTGGGTTCATGGGGACATGAACAGCAAGCGGAACATGATAGATAGGGCATCCTTCAAGTTGTTCCTGCGATGGCAGGATTACACTGCTATCCCTGAAGACAATATTGCCAGTCATCAGTTTTCGTTTCACTTGTTTCACCTAGCACAGAGGAAAGACTACATGATGGTGGAGACTCGGCCTGTGGGCTGTGGTTTGTTTTGTTTTGGGTTGTTCTGGTTGTCCTTGTTCTTTTCTCTACCATCAGACTGTTCTTCCCTTCCTTCAATGATGACCTGGGCACCATGCCCACACGGCGTCCGTACTCGTGGAAAAAAAGCTATCCCTGAAGACAATAGTGTATTCCATGCTTTGCTCTAGCTTGTCCCAGATTGGGTCCTCTAGGTATGTCTGCGTGGCAGTTTGCAGAAAATCGATGGAGCACCCAAACACTTTAAGGTCAGTTACTGAGACAAGATAGTCCATAACCTGTCCTCTAGGCCCTCAAATCGATCAAATTTTGCCACACTAAGAGAGACCTTGATAGTAACCCGAGCGTTGTCAGCACCAAGGAGCAGTCCATGACCGGCTCCGTTTCAGGGGGAGTATTAAGTCTGGATGAGTCGGCAAGCTCCATATGTGGCAGACTAATTTCATTTGCTGTTTGAGCCAAAAGCTTCTCACTCTGCTCATTGACTGTTTCTAGAGCCGGAGATGTTTCTAGAGACAGATGCTAAGGCACCCACCATGACCCCCGCATGGACTGGCCCGATGTTAGGAAACTCTTCGTCAGCGGGGAGCAGCTCCACCCACAGTGGTCTTTCAAATTTGTCACGCATAAAGAAAGCATTGTGCTCTGCCTGCGCAGACTGTTCAATCTCCCTCCAATCTAGGGGCGTAAAGCGTTGCAGTTGCTCACACCCACAGAAAGCACGGATGCCTATGTCACAGAGTTCTGTCGGGATGACCACTTCTTGGAGCGCAACGCAATCAAGGAAAACTTCTTTGCCAATTTGCGTTAGTCGCGGCGGAAGCCACATACAATTCAGAGCCACGCAGTGGGCAAAGGTGGAGTGGAGCAGGGCTGTGATTTCTGCGCACGTGAGGTTGACCTCACAAGTCCTTTGCAGTTTTCACAGGCCCGTGGCCCGATATTGTGAAAGTCACCTGGCAGACAGAGCTGTTCAATGCCTGCTCCACAGAATGCGCCTTCAGGCAGCGCTCGAGGTTTATTGGTGTGGTCCCTGGCAAAGGTGATGGATGTAAGTGTGAGACAACTCTCAAATGCATATCTGCCTAGCTGTGCCCCTGGTGCAAGGACATTACTGTGACACCAACTCGACCAAGGGAGCAGCACTCCGCAAACACTCTTCGGCTGTACTGGACACATCCCGGGGCGGCCACTTCTCGCAGCACGTAGCACCCCTAGAAGGTCCCATCTTCAAGACTTATGACAGAGGGTGGGAGCTTGACAATTTGCAGTTGCTGACAACTCTGCCAGGCCGCGAATCCTACATGTTGAATGCCCATTGCCACTTCTACGCGCCGGAGCACGGGTGCAGCATAGAAGGCTCTGTCAGCAATTTCTCCGCGCGGGTTGGCCGGGACACGTATAGCCTTGGGGTAGCTTTCTCTACCGTCAGCCTGGAACTGCCAGATGGAGTGTCCATCTACCATGCAGGGACGTACTACGATTTGTAGTTTCGGCCGTTGCAGGAGCACCGTGTGGAATGCTTCTGGCAGGGGTCGCTGCGTGTGAAGGTCGAGTAGGTCCAGCTCACAGCCAAAGACATCCAAATCAGAGACTGTTGGCAGAAAGCAGAGAATGTCATCTTCCAGCTGTGCCACGTCCTCATACTGAGCGAGATTTGTTTGCATAGCATATTCCGTGCCTGCTATCGTCACCAAATCGATGCTGACATCATATCGGTCTTGGTCAAGCGGCACGCCCCAACCCCCCTTGCCCCCATCGTGTGATCTCGACATCACGCCAACCCCCTCATCATTCACAAAGTTGCGGAGCCCTAGTGAGGGAATCCACAATGTTGCGGAATCCTGGTTGCGGAACGCCCGTGGTTTTTTTTGCACGGGTGGAGCCGCCATTCACGCAGGAAATGCATAGGTCAGCTTGCGCTGTTTTTGAAAGCGTATCTTGCATGAAAAGCCAACCAACAAACACCACACAAACACAAAGCACCACCAAACAAAGCAACCAAGCAGGGAAGAAAGAAGGAGACTCTTGAGTGTAAATGCAAGGTGAAACCGGTGTGAGACATAAATCGGGCGTTGAATTGGTGCAAAAAGGCTGCGTGGGTTGGGTGGGGGGCTAATGACGTTGGTTTGGATGTGCTTCGAAGATGATGTCACAGGCGCACATGCTATCGCATGATGTGGATCACCAGTTGCAGAATGCCAGTTGCAGAAACTCTGACTTTCCGGGTTCAGAACACCAGTTGCAGACTCCTAGTTTCAGAACCCCAGTTTCAGAATCCTAGTTTCAGAATTCCAGTTTCAACATACCAGCTCCAGAATCCAAACTTCAGAACCCTAGTTTCAGAACCCTACTTTCAGAACCCAGTTTCAGAATCCGACCGATTAGTTTCCGAATCCGGCTGTAACCGTAGTTTTTTCTTTGAAAGGATTGCAAGAACCGGGTCTGCAAGAGAACTGGGTGTCGACTCTAATCATCAACATCCAGGAACACATTCTAGAAACGAACTCCATACATGAACTTGTTTGCTTCAAAAGGAAGTGCAAAGCAGACCATCAAACAATATTTGCAGCCATTCTGGTCCAATTCTTACTTTTTGACGTGCGGACGGCGTGACTTTCCAGCACCTGGTGACGAACTAAAGACATAATAAAGGTTTCCTTTTTTTTTCAATTTGCAGCCAAGTTTTGCTTGGCAACTTGGCCCACCGCAATCGAGGTCTTTTGGTCCGGCAATAATCATGTCGTGCACATTTCCAACAAACCAAGCCATTGTGGTTGGCGGTGGGCTTGGAGGCTTGATGCAGAATTTGTGGGTGTTGCATGTGTTGAAAACATCAGGAAATTGTTTTGGTATGCTTTGGCATCAATATGCACTGAAATTTCTTAATTGAGAGATTGGTGGTGGCTTCTGTGGGGAGGCATGTCTGCAGCCAACACTGTGGTCGAAAACGGTGGCCGGGTTGTGCTGCTGGCTGCTTTGCTGAACATATTTATATTTGGCTAGTCTTGTGTCAATGGTTCTGTAGTCAAAAACTGTCAAGCACGCATCTGAGGATAAGTCTTCCTTCTGCGGTGGAAACAGTACGAAAGCAACCTCTGGCATCAATGGTGCAGGTTGGGTGGGGAAGGAATGCATGTATGTGTTCGGTTTGTTATCCTCAGCGCGTTTTGCAGGCACAAAGACTCAGAAGGCCAAGGGCATCCCAGACAATGCGGACATATTTACACAGGAGCTCCATGATTGTGAACACAATGACCCCAGATTGGACACGATTTTCCATTCAAAGCACTTCGCTTCAGGACACGCTCAAAGGCGGCGCCAAGAAGCCTGAGCTGGCCAAGTGTTTTTCTTGCACATAGGTTGACTTGTTGTTGGTACCTTGGAGCACTTGAGTCAATGAATAGAATCATGGACTGAGACTCTTGTGTGTCAACAGTGCGGATGATGTTGAGCCTTGGCTGCAAATCTTTGCACGTATTGGTGATCGTTCAATTTTCAAGGAGTCAGGGAGTCTATGCTTGTCAGGATTGGCTGGTGGAGAAGTTCAACTTAGACCTGTCATTGGTGGCACGTCTAGGTGGACATTCTCAGCCACGCACACACCGCGGGAAAGAGCGATTTCCTGGAATGACGATCACCTATGCTTTGATCCAGATGCTTGAGAAGGCCCACGCCAAGAACATGGTAACACACCCCTACACAGCCATGCGTTTGTAGCATGGTTTGTTTATATAAATACAAATACATGTATTTTTTACAATATCTTTGGTAGCAAACACCTAAATAACTTTACAATAGCTTCGCTAAATTGCAGAGGATTGTCCTCTTTATCGAATCGAGAGCGCTTAGTTCATTGGATGCAGGGCCACCATGTCGACATTTGATGTATCCAAGAGACGAAGATTAATAGCAATTCTGTCGAAACCCATGGCGATTACACGATGTACTGGTCAAGTGGAGTGAAAGACGACGATAGAAACCGTGCCTTGGAGCTCAGTCGCTCTGGTAAAGCGAGATTGTCCAACCCCCACCATCGAGATATTTTTGCAGAAAGCGCAGGAACATCTTGGAGTTGGTATTGTTGTTTCTAAAACAGCCCGGAAATTCCTAAGCAGTGTTCAGCCCATCAGTGCTCGCAATATTTGTGCTCAATTTTTGATGCAAGCTGGTGTTTTAGATGTTGTTTCCACATATGCGCCTCAGGCTTGCCACCAAGATGCTGAGAGCAATTCAGCTATTTTGGACACAGCTTATGCCTACTCCCCTAAGATTAAAGCGCTCCCCAACGAGCGGGCTACTATCGGACCTTATACTTTTGGAGCTAGCACGCACGAGTTGACTTTTTTGAGTGACCGACAGCTTGCCAATCGCTCCAACATGGTTGAATTCTGTTTAGAACATCGCCTGGTGGTCGCCAATACTCTTTTTCAACAGTCTACTGAACATCTTGTTACGTACCGCTCTGTTGGAGTTTCTCAGTGGGACCATCCTTTTCATTTTCACAAGTACGCTCAACTTGACTCTATTCTCGTTAACTCCCGGTGGAAAAGCTCTATCCTGAACGTTTCTTCAACTTACGCACACGCCTTAGACACAGATCACAAGCTTCTTAAAGCTGATGTCAAATTCAAACTGAAAGCTAAAGCTCCCCCCCAACCGGTCAACACCCTGAAGTTCCACACCCCAAACCTTGCACAGTTGAGCCATTATAACACGACTATTGTTAGGTCTAAACTTCTCTACAGTCTTGAATGCATACAGCCAACTACTGCTGATATATCTCGACTCAATGCCTTTCAAAACAAATCTCTCAGAAGGATCTTAGGTATCCCTCCAACGTTCATTGATCGGGAATAAACAAACGCTCGAATGTACGCTAGCATCCAGCAGGAGCATGGATGTACTTTTGAACCTTTCGGGGAGACATGGAAAAAAACAAAGTGCCGCCTATTTGGCCATATTTTGAGAGCACCTAGGTCGGATCCGCTGGTCCAAGTCGTTCTTGAATTTGACGGTGTCACACCTAAAACTCCGCTTTTTCGGAGACCAGGTAGGCCCCGAGCAGATTGGGTTGTTGAAACTTACAAGGATTCCTGCTCTTTTCTGTTTGGACCCCACACTGTTTTTGATATATCGGACGACCAACTTCTTTGTAACATCAAACAGGCCGCCATAGAACTGGTCCTTTTGCCACACGCTTATGATGCATGGGACTGTGCCGAGTCCCAAAGGCTTTCGAGCCTCTCATGGTACTGCTTTTCTCTCGATTATTGTGCTGTCTGATGCGTAGTGTATTTGCATGTTCGGCTGGTTTCTATTTTCTTGTACTTTTGGTGGGGTGTTCTGTTTCACCTATTTCTTTCACAGCCCTGCAAGCTTTGTAACTCCATGTCTGGATTGTCTTTTTTCCTCCTTTCGCGTGGCTGTTGGGAGCCCATTTGTGCTCGCGGGAAAAAACCAATGTGTTTGTTCTTCTCAATAACGACTATCTCGGTACAACCACTGATACACCCGGTCCCAGAACCATCCGTTCACAGAAGCAACGTGTTCTTCATTTGGGGTGGTAACAAGCTCCCCCTGTGCATGCGGCATCATTTTGGCAACAAATCCAAGCGAACATCATTAACTCCCCACCCATCTCCACCCCGTGGCATAATTTTAGTAGCTACTCCGGGGTCAGAGTCAGAGTAGATGGCGGGTTCTTTTTCAATTAGCAATGAACAATCTATATTCATGCCATACTACCCCTGATTGCGCCATCTATGTGCTTAGAAAAGGGACATTTTTAGGGCACGCTCGGAACGCTTGGCGATGTCAAAATGGCATGTTCAAAGATTGCGCAAAGGGGCACATTGCTTTTGTGTTCGCGCCATCAACTCTCACCCTGTCATGTGTATATATATATATATATATACAACTTGCCAAATGTTTCCCTTGGCGTGAGAAAACGGTTCTTTGCCAATGATGACTTTCACTTTATTCTTGGCCCAATTTTAACATGTATATACTGTACTGTATGTATGGCCTTCCACCTTTGGCATGTTTTCCACTGGTCCTTGAATAAATTGAGCAAATTCTTTTTACCCCGGTGGAATCCAAACGAACGTCATTAACCTCTGACCCGTCCCCATCCCCCTGTGCATGTGGCACCATCTTAGTAGCAAATCCGAACAAATGTCATTAAACCCTGTCCCATCTTCCAATCCGTGTGTGCATCACAGCGCAACATTGCCACGTACACCGTTTCCTCCCAGTGGCCCTGCGGGTTTTTGGAACATCACACAAACTTTGCATGATGTGCTCCAAAACGGCAAAAGCGTACCGTGGTGATGGGCGTGACGCCAAAGACATAGATAATTACAAATTGCGTTTGTGCATCTGTGCTTGCCCAAACGCAACCTGAACAGTTGAAGTTCAATGTGTCGGCAGGTGGCGGAGAAAACCGACTTGGCCAAAATCATCACGAAGGCCAAGGTTTTCAAGTTGGTCACTGAGGGCAACACCTGTGTCGGGTGCGTCTACGAGAAGGGCGGCCAGAACTTCCAAGAGTTTGGACCTGTGATTTTGGCTTCAGGCAGCTCGGATTGAGCATCGAAACCAGAATAGATGCCCTTTCAGCCATGACAAACCTGAGAGTTCTTTTGAGGGAGCCTGAACTTTTCTTCCAAGACTGATGAGATTGCACTGCTTTCTTGAGGTGGCTTTGGTGCCGATTTTACTAGCAATTCCCTGTTGGCACAGTACAGACCTGATTTGCTGCATTTGCCCACCACCAACGGCGAGCACTGCACTGGAGACGGCATCAAGATGGGTGAGGTCAGCATCTCAAAGGTTTCTTTTGTGTCAACTATATATAACTATTTAGATATGTCATAGAGACATTGTGTCAGAAGAACATAAAAAAGGACTTCCTCTCCCTTTTTGTTCTGAATGGAGCCGGGTTTGGTTGAGGCCATTGGCGCGAAGAGCATTGACCTTGAATGGGTCCAGGTCCACCCGACTGGACTTGTAAAGCCAGATGATGCGGACGCCAAGATCAAGTTTTTGGCCGCAGAGGCCGGGAAGATAGCTTTCTCATGTTTTCTCCCCTCCTGACACGATTCCGGTCGTTGGATTTGAAAAAAATCTGCAAGTCTCCCCACCAGGTGTTCCTGATCGTGTGGGGATAGCTGCAATTAAAGCAGTTTTTCCTCCCCTGAAGGTTCCTGGCACTGTCTCTTTTCATTTGGATGTCGATTGGAAAGCATTTTACACATTTTATCAGAACGAGGCTCTGCGTGGAGTTGGCGGCATTATTCTGAACGCGGAGGGGAAGCGTTTCTGCAACGAGCTGGGGCGTGTGAAGCCCAGACAGCATAGGTAGCGGGGCATTTATCAAGATTCTGTGCGGAAAACAAAAGGAACAAAGGGACAAAAGAGGAAGGTAACGCGGCCTTATGTTCCTTGTATTTGTATATATATATATAAATTCAGAGAGATAAACATTTTTTCCAATCTTTTTATTGTTTCCGCAAATTGACCTTTTGACAATTGGAAGGTCGTGACTATGTCACTGGAGAGATGTGGAAGAGCAAGCCACCGTTCAGGCTGGGATAACATGTGCAGGCATTGCGTTTTCGTGACAACGGAGCTAAGTGTTTGTGTCAAGTGCCAAGGATGTTTTCCTGGTAGGTCCTTTTGATTCCGACTGTGCAGTAGAGTTTGATTTGGATGCTGTCAGGTTGTGCTTGAACAAGGCTGCCTCCGACGAGATCATTTGGCACTGCAAGCTGGGGATCTAAGATGAGAACACACCTTGGTTTTGAACAGTTCCTTTTGAATACCAAAATAGCAAAGTCTAAAGAAACATCTCACGTCTCAAGAAGATATGAACAAAGCAAACCCGGGGGCCCTGAGAGGAGAATACACTTTGGTTTTGAGAAGTTCCTTTTCTGCTTTGCTCTTCCATCTTTATCAAGGGGGGCCGTGGGGGGTCATGAAGTACCCCGCTGAAGTCGCTGTAAGAAAGCGGGTTGCCAAAATTGAGGCACTACACTGGCCGCGGGGCTTGGGACTTAGTTTGTAGGAGATGCTGCTCCAGGATTCTGGGTGCTCACTGTTCTGGTGCAGTACTGGTCTTTCTGCTCCCAAGGTCATGAAATACTATGCAAGCGGTGAGGATTTGGCCAAGGATATGGGGGTGGCACTCTCTGTGATTGAGGAGAGCCATGAGGATCATTACCAAGCTGCCAAGAA